TTGAACTTGAATATGTTATCAGTTAGCATGTAGTCTTAACCTTTACCTACATGTACGTTACTTTATTTATTTGATTAGATATCAGAAGACAAACAGTGTATATTATGCGGCCAACTGATGGGCATGGTCAATTTCATCAAAACGTTGACCAAATCACTACCTTTACTGTATAAATTAAAGCGTATGAAACTAACCACCAGACATCATGAGTTTTACACGCTGGTAAGTATTTGACCTTTGACCACTGATTTGATGTCTGTCTGACATCTCATCATGAATTATTGTAGTAGGGTCAACAACATTACATGCTTTTTTTTTTGCTTCAAAATAGTATAAAAAATAGAAACAGAAATAGAAGGAATTTTTTATACCATTGTCAACCCAGAAAATATATAGACGTTTTTAATTTTGTTCTAATTGGTAACAGCTATATGCATAATTTGCATAAACCATCATCATTTACATATTCATTAACAGGGGGAAACCCTCACTGTGTGGTTTCTCTCTCACAGTTCATTCATTATTGAAATAGCTGTGCTTATCACTAGGAAAACTAAATATCATTACTCCAGTGTAGTCAAATGAGATTTACCGTAATGTTAAATTACAAATCTAAATTTAAGGGTCCGAGAAATTGCAATTATAATGGAATTCTTACTTCCCGTCAGTTTATATAGTGCACGGTTGGAAATCCATCATTGTTGAAGTAATTGACAATAGGACTGTTTTGACTGACATTGTTCCGTCATGACTACACCACTCTTCTTGTGCAGTCAACCAGTCAGACTAAGGAAGTTAGAAAAGTGTATGTTAATATTACTTTGGTTGAACTGTCAATATCACCAGATACCACATATTTATAGCTCGTTATTGGTTTCGATGCTTTCTTAATAACACATGTAAGTGCATGTTTTAAGTTTAACAGTTGTCACACCACAATGGGTTCCATATTAAAAGGATTAAGCTTATTTTGAGTTTTTAAGACCAATTCTGACAATATAATGCCATAATTTGATTAGAATTTGTGATATATCTGTATACTGTAGATCTAAACTGTTTTCAAGTTTGGTTAACAGCTAAAATGTAGAAAGACATCACAGGAAATGTTACATTTGATGGAGGACTATCGTAAAATCTGAATTTTTAAACTATTGAGAATTGAAAATTCACCATTTCTCTTAGGTTTCAAAACTCCTGGACAAAAATTCCATAAAAGCTTCAGTTTATTAGAAAATTCTTGAAAATAGCTTTTTTTGACTCCCATGTGCGAAGCACAAAATGGGAGTCTTTGCAGTTAGTGTGTCTGTATGTGTGTATGTG